GACGGAGGAGACTCATCCACGACCTCCGACACTAAACTCTCCTCTTCTTGCATGTTTCCTCTGTCCATAGCGTTCCTTGACAGTGTCGTTTCTAAGTCACCAATTTAGTTCTACTTGGTCCCAATGGAATTTCCCATTGGGAACCTACTAGCACTAAGTTGCTAACTGGTTAGCAAGATGCTTCAGAGAAACCGGCCACAACCAAACATGCTAGCGAACCTTCCACCACAACAACCCTGCCCCCTTGATAAACGACCAATCACATTCACTTTATTCACTCGTGTAAAGTCGTGCACCACTCGGGAGAATTCAGAAAGTTGGAACAGCCGATTCTCTACGACTTCAAAGACATTGTGTGAACTAATGACTCATGCATGTTAGGTGATGTTATTAGATCAGGGTAATGGTGTCTAAGGAGAATATTTTTAATGTCTGCCTTCCTGTTTCTCTGATCTCAGTTGATCCAGCCCTGCAGTGCCGGTCCTTCTGTAACCCAGTACCCTCCAACGGTGCTTTGTGGGGCGGCCCCATCCTCTCCCTACGTGGTCAGCCCGCCTCCTGGACCTTTGCTGCCTCTCCTGACTTTCAGGAGCAACACAGAAGCTGTGGCTTTGGGTAAACAAAAGTTGTGCCATTGAACCTGTAGCAGGTGCTTGGCTTCCTGCATTGATTTTATTGTTGTTTTATTGAATTACTACATTTTTTTAAACAAATTAGATCAATCTTGCTCTGTTTTTGTTCAGGGAACCACAGTCCTCACGGCCATGCAGCATCGATCTGGACTGAAGACCTGACCCTGGCTCTGGAGACAGCTAAGAGGTCCGCATCAAAGCAGATGTTATTTATGTTCCTGAAACGTACCGTTAACTGACCCACTGACTGACGTTTCCCCGCAGTCTGTCGGTGGGCTTGGTGTGGGTGAATTCCAGCTGCGTCTCCGATCCCTGCCTTCCAGTCTGCGGCCACAAAGACAGCGGCACCTGNTAAAAAAAAGGAAAGTTTTAAGTCTACCCTTAAAAGTAGACAGGGTGTCTGCCTCACAGACTAAAACTGGTAGTTGGTTCCACAGGAGAGGAGCCTGATAACTAAAAGATCTGCTGAAGTTGCAGATTGAGAGTGAAGTGCCCCGCTAGGAACATAAGGAATCATAATATGAATACGTTCATATTTTTGGTGAACGGTTAACTGAACAGATCAGTTTTGAAGTAATGAACGTGAACGAGAGCGACGTTCACTCTGAGAATAATGAGTGACACACACAGCCCAGGTTCAATTGAAGACGACACTTTTCATTGGATAACATCAGGTTTTACCGCACTTATTACTCTAGTACTAGTCTGCTGATTCAGACTCATCTTCTGGAATTCTGATCCCAGTTTATTAATGTTAATGGCATGGGAGTTTTATGAACTAAAAAAGAAAGTACTTAACAAACACGTCCGTCACGTCCACTTCAAATTTAAAGCGACACATTGATTTAAAGCATCTAAGCTAACTTAGTAAATATCTGCTACTGAATGAGGAACGTAAGAAATCCTTTTTGATGCAGATTTTGTTATAGATCAGCAGAACCTTTCTATTCCTTTATGTTTCTGAAGTCCTGTGTAATTTGGCTAAATAAAGGCTTCGCTTCACATCCAGTATATCTTGACTGCATCCAGTATTTTCCTTTTCTTGCTATATATTATAGTCACACATCAAAGGATGAAATATGAGGTTCTATTGTGGATTGTGGCTTAGTTTACCAAATTAACTTGAACTACTTAATTTATAGGTTTGTGTACATTTAATAAATTTTTGAAACAGTGAACTATGAACGTGAGCTAGTTCATTTTCATCTGTGCGAACTTTAAGCTAGTTTTTTTAATTATGAAGTGAGACACCATTGCCTCATATTAGGGGTGGAACGGTTCACAAAATCCACGGTTCGGTTCGGATCACGGTTTCGTGGTCACGGTTTTCGGTTCAGTTCGGTATATGTTGATTGTTAGTCTGACATGTTGGTCATGTTGCTGTTAGCATAAACAAAACGTGTTGCACAATGCTTGCACACTGTTGCACTTTTATCCACAACTTTCTTTCCGCCGTCATCGTAGGTCACTCTAAATGCAAAGTGGTCCCATACAGCAGACCTATGCTTTGTGCAGGCCGCCTGAAGCGCAGCGGGGCGGAGCGGA